TTTTTATATCGTATAGTATAAATCCATCTTCTAGTCTCTTTCATGTGAAGTAAAGGGTCCCGGGGAATAATGATAAAAGCAATTGTTTCTTTCTCTTCCTTCTTCGTGCCATTTAAGCCAAAACGTAGGGTAGCCATCCATTACATAACCAATTTTTGTTTCTGAAAAGTATTACCTTCATCAAAATCACGGAAAAATGACTAAATAGCTCTCTTAAAAAACCCTTTCCATTTAAGAATGATGAAAGGAGGACACTGCAAGTGAACAATGAGGGGTTGACTCTAATGACCCTACCTTCTTTCCTCCCGATAATAATTTTGAGTGAATATGCAATTGAAGTTTTAACTCTCTTTATCATTCTTATCACAAATCGTCCTTGAGATTTTCAAAAATCATCATTTTAGTCCTCCACATTGCAAATCGATCAATGTCATGTTTTATTGCACACCTTGCCACCTTGGCCCATAAGTTAAGGGAAAGCGGAGGATAGATTATTGTCTTGGAATATTTCAAATGACAACGATGGAATTTAAGAAATCCATATTCCAAAATTATTTGCAAGAAAAACTTATAATCTTTTTTTGGGTTTATGAATCCAAATATAAGAATTGTGTCCTACAAAATCAATGAACATGGGCTTCAAGAAGGTACTAAAATTTCAATTATTTAATTGAGTGGTCAAATTATATTAGATTGAAGTTATTTTTTGTAGAGATGATATTTGAATGAATATCTACAAAATAGAAGGTTTGGATTAGTGAAATATAATCCGGAGTAGGCCCTACAAGAGTGTCTCTCAAATAAGCTTATTTGAGAGATCCTTCAATAGAAGCTCTCTGTGTATATATAAATATATTTTATTGCGTATTTCAGTTTTGTGCAAATGTTAAATCCATATCTAGCTTTCAATGACCAAACGATAAATTTAGTTTAGGGACCAAAATGTAAATCAGGTACAAATTTGAGGACCATTTGAGTAATTAACTCTTAAAAAAAAAAAGGCATGATTTTGTAATACTATATTCATTCAGGTTAAGAATGGTAAATCAACCTTTATTTTTCTTTCTGATATCAACTGGGGAGGGCAAGAAACCTACTGGCTTCCGTTGACAATAAATAGAAATAGAAATATATATATGTAGTTTTCAAGGTGTAATAAGTGAAAAGTCTTTGTTGAAGAAATGTCTTCCATACCGGCCAAGAGAGAGAGAGAGAGAGAGCCAAACCATCCAGACCGTCCACCAAAGCGTGGATAACTGGCAATGCATGTGATGTGGCAAGCGCAAGAGAGCCCCACTTCAGGTTATGGAGATCAAGGCCGCACTGGTGGTTACGGCGACATCACTGGCTATGGCGACTCCACTGGTTGCAGATCAAGGCCGCACTGGTGGTTACGGCGACTCCACTGGTTACTCTTCTCAAGGACGTGCCGGTGGTGGTGGCGGCGGCTATGGCGACAACACGGATTACACCGGTGAAGGACGTCGTACTGGCGGAGGAGGCTACGGCGGCAGCACTGATTACTCTGGTGGTGAAGAGCGTCGTGCTAGTGGAGGCGGCGATGGCTACGGCGACAGTTACTCTGGTGAAGGACGTCGTACCGGTGACGGCGGCTATGGAGACAGCACTGATTACTCTGGTGAAGGACGTCGTACCGGTGGGGGCGGCGGTGATTACAGAGATAGTTACTCTAGTGAGGGACGTACTGGAAATGTCGGTGGCTACGGAGACAGTTACTCGGAAGGAGGACACGGCGGCCGTGGCGAGACCACTGCTTACTCTTCTGATGGGCCCCGCGGCGGACGGTACAGCGAGACGTCTGAAACCTATGGGTCTAGTGACTCTGGAGACTACAAGAAGCAGGAGAAGCACCACAAACATCTCGAGGAACTTGGGGAGCTAGGTTCTGCTGCTGCTGGCACGTATGCATTGGTAGATTAACGTTTCAACCCTATTTTTCTGATTTAATTTATGATTTTAATTAGGCATACTAATTGTGGATTTATGATCATTCTCAAAGCTATATTAGTGCATGATTTGTGATCGATCTCGTTGCAAAGAATTTTTTAGTATGATGGATAAGTATACATCACCTATTTTATGATAATCAATCATCTAAATGATATATACACCCGTTATATCTAAGAATTTATCGTAAAAAAATACATACTTCCCGTTCACTTAAATAGAACATAACCGAAGAAGTGGAAGATTAATTAGGCTAAGTTTTATCCAGATCTTATTGACAAAATATATAATTGCCAATCTTACTTTGCGTTCACTTAAAGTATAGTGATTAATTATATGTAATTATAAGGCCAAATCTTGTTTTGGTTACAACTTACAACAGACCAAATCAAACTCTAGTTTTTTATTTTCTAACACTAATGAAAATTTATAGGATATATCACATATATAATTTTGAAATATAATGTTTTGTAATTGTTGAGCTTGGATATATAAAAGGAGAAACTTTGACCCTTAAGTTTTTTTTTTTTTGGGCAGTATGAGAAGCACGAGGCAAAGAAAGACACAGAGCATGCTCGCAGGCACAGGATAGAGGAGGAGATTGGTGCAACAGGGGCAGTTGGTTCGGGTGGGTATGCCTTCCACGAGCATCATAAGGAGAGAGAGTCAGAGAGAAAAGAGGAAGAGTCTCATGGAAAGAAGCACCACCACCTCTTCTAAATAATCTCAATTAATCAATATCGATCTTTATTGATTACCAAATTAAGTGGTTAATTATGCACTGTGCATCTCTTTAATTATTTGTGTGATTGTTTAATTATGATGAATACTCAGTATTTTGTGTCTGAGAATTGATGCATGTTGAGTCTATAAGTAAGACTCTTTGTTTAAAGGGTACTGTATATATCCGGTTTTCTTTTAGCATGTCATGTATTTCATTGTTAATAATCGTTTACTCGGTGTAAGTTTTATATGATTTTTTTGGTGGTATTAATCTTTTTTTTATACAAGCGATATTGAGTGAGGGGGAAATCGAACCTAGAACCTATGCAGTGGTATAAATAGTCTTAACTACTAGCTATAAACCCCTTGCGTATAAATCTTAGCCAGACTTAATTAACACAATATATCGATAAGAATATAGAGTTGAGAAAATATGCACAGGAAAATCATTTTGTTGATTTTTTGTTGAATTAATCCCCTTTACCTTGTTGTAACTAAGTGAAAAATATGGTGCTTTGCATATAGAATTCGATAGAAACTGATTATTCTAATCATTTAGTCTTAAATAGTAATACACTCATAAAGGTAAGCCCAATTAAGCCATTAAAACACTGCGACTAATTCATGCTAAAACATAATTAAGATCATGAACAAAATAGACCCTACTAGTTAAGTAAGTAACGTGGCCAAAGACCCCATATGCGTTACTATTATTGATTGAAGATCTCAAATTCTTCAAGCGACCAACTTATTCGAACCAGGAACAACTTTTACATTAGTAGGATCATGACTTGATGGTGGATTTGACGACAGGGATTTAACATGATCGGCTTCATCGCAGTAACCCTTGAGTACATCAGTCTCTTCCGCAGTAAACCCTAGTGTGCCAACCAAGGCAGGCCAACACTGATGCTCAATGGTCCGAATGGCTTCACAGCAACTGTGACCCAAGTAAGTCTCACCAGTAAGAAAAAACATGACAACCTCACCAGAACATGACTGGAGCTGAAACAAAGAGTCCCAGCAGTTGGAAGATTCTTCATCCAAATTCAACCTGGCCACGAGGTTCGAATTTAACCGAATTATGTTAGGATTCAAAGGGCGAGCACTTGTGGCTAAGAATGGCATAGTCAAGGCTAGAAGAGCTGTGAGAAGGAAGAGCTTGAAAGTTGTGTAAGCTGCCATTTTGATTTTGATTGTGGATGAGTAAGGGATTGATACGAATGAAGGTTTTTATATAGATGGTGAGGTGATTGTGTTATAAAATGAAAAATAAAAAAAACCGTTACGTGCATTGGGCGGTGAAGAGGCTGCTGAGAGTAACTCATAATGACAATGATCTACTTAACTGCAGGAGAAGTTCATTAGAAACTGATTATTCTAATCATTCAGTCTTAAACAGTAACTCATAATGGCAGGAGAAGTTGATGGGACTCAACTCATCAACTGATGATGCATATAAAAAAAAATTGTGGGAATTAAAATAATTAAACGTATTCCCAACCACAGACGAATTAATGGATAATTTATGGTCTTTGTGATAGTTGGTTTGCTTGCTAGTGTTGGTTTTGTTTGCTGATGTTCAAAAGGATCAACCATTCGTTTGCTTACCGAAAGTTGGTTAGTAGTGTATATTCATTATTCATGCTCATAATTGGATGATTAAATTTATGTTTGCTTTACATTTTAATTTCAAATTTGTTCTCAAATTGACAAAGTCGATTTCAACCTATTGTAATGTACAGTACGAGAGGGGTTTGAACTCGGGTGCAAGGGACAAGCACACTACCTTGACCAACTCACCTAACCCACATTTGTAATTTTAATTTTCTATTAGATTTTTAGTTATTGGACTCCAAACTATGCTTCAATTCTCATTGGAATTTGCTTAGAGATAGACAAATTAATAATTTTGTGATTTGTTGATTAGCTAGATACTTGAGTTGGCTTCATTTTGGGCTTTTATTTGGTGCCATTCGGCCTTCGGTTGATGGCTCTTGGAAGTTTGTTCGGCTCTGTTTGTTTGAACATATCTATAGCTTACAATACATCTTAATTTTTAGAACATATGTCTAATTGTAGTTCCAAAATGTCTCAAAATAAAATTGAAAGAAAATAATTGCTCCAAAATTATTGCCACTCAAATGATTTCCCTAGCGTGAAATCTTGTCATCAAGACAGACTACTGTGTGAATATTAATATGAAGACTACATTCTCTGCTTTTGTGGAAATGTGAGTACATCTTAACTAGATTGACAACTTCTCATTCATAAATCACCTATGTGAAAATAACAATAAAACAAAATGATAGCTCTAAAATATTTCCCTAATGTGAAAATTCAAGTACATTCTTATGACCAGATTGAATTCATCAATCATGTGGTACTTCTTAACTCCAATTCTCCAAATATTTTACAATGAAAAAGATACTATAATTTTATTCCAGATACAACTAGCACTGCCAAATTCTGCTCAACTTATTGTGATGTTAATGAACCTCTCATGAATTCCATTCTGTTGCATAATTTGAAACTGAGAGATGCTAAATAGGAGAAGAATGCATAATTGAATAAGAGATGGCACAAACTGTCAAAGATATGATCAATGAAATAGACAAGGGAGGAGTTTCGACAAAGCAATTGTTCGGTTTTAGATCAGATCAATGCCAATGTTTATGCGTCTGATTGAGAATTCTTGTTGGCTTATTCCATCCTGCACACAACAGAATATAGCAGTTTAAATAGTCACATAAGTAGTGTCAATAAGAACCAGGTAGGTCTCATGAGCCTGTAAATTTTGAGGTGAAAATTTCATGCAAACCTGGCCAATAAGCACGCAAGTACTTTCGATCATTTCGAGTTGCACATTAGCAGTGTGCCCAGTATCGGCCATGGCATCAGGAACCCAAATTTCAGTTGACTACAGGACACAATTGGCTGGCTTCAACATCAGTAGTCTTGTAATTATGTACTTGAATGCAGAAACAAAAAAAAGTTACAGTATGTCCTGTTTATTTGCACCATAAATCTTGCATATACATACTTTTGCAATGGAAAAAAAAAAAGAAGCAAGATAAATTGTTCTCCTCTGCTACCTAATATCATTGAAACGTGTTGGAAGACATATCATTGAAACAAACAAAACAAACAACCATTCACTCTATCTTAAGATAGATGAGATCATGGAAGACATATACTTGATTGCTGAAAGTAACTACTTAATGATTTGCAGTATGTTAACAGATACTTTGCTCAAATGCTATATAATATGCAGCAACATGAGTTAATTAACCTGATTAATTAATTCTCTGCAGTAGTTAACAAAGAAATGTTCTTTCTCAGATGCATATAAGCTCATGTTATCAACCAAGATGACAAATGTACATGAGAGAGAGAGAGAGAGAGAGCAGAGGAATTATCATCGAAGATATGAATCTAATGATAAATGTATCTAGAAAAGAAAATGCAGGGTGACTTACTAATAATATCAATTGTGAGAGCACCGCTATTGGCCTTTCAAGTATTGAGGTGCAGATATTTGAGGAGGAGGAGTTTTTAACGAAGTTAGCAAAAATTTAGCTCCTTTTTCAACAGTAGCAAATCAAAGTGGTTACCCTCCAACTCAAAAGTCCCCTGCTGTAGTTGAAAATTTTCATAAAAAGTGCAGTTACTAGAAAGAGGGAGAAAATCTTTACAAGTTGAGAGTAATTCAGATTTGCTCCTAAAACAAAACAAGGAATAGAGCCAAAAATAAAAACAGTGGGAGAACCAAATGAAGGAGCAATAGGTGAAAAACAAAACTTAAAGCAACATAAGGCCAAAAGAATGAAGCACAAGCAGTGGAACAAACAAAATGAAAAGTAGAATCAGCAAAAGCAGCAACTCACATTGAAATGCAGCAGCTGTGATGCCTCTTGCTTTGAAATTCAGGAATCATAGGTCAGTCCCAATCACTTCGATCTTTTTTCTTTTTCTGGGCCGAGCTTCGTCAACAACATCATTTAATTCATCTTGGTCTGCATCTTCGGAAAGAGCATAGGTATTGCAGAAGAGAGATTTTTGGTGAGAGCTACCACTTCCACTTGGACTAGCCTCCTCGTCATCATGGCGTTATTGACCTTGTCCACCAAAACCTTGATTTATTAGGCTGTGATCCACTTCTACCCAAATCTAGCCTGTATAGTTTTTTCAAACCAACAACAGAGCGTGGCAGCTGTCTTATAGAAGTTCCATACAATTGAAGCACTGTAAGAGACTTCAAATTACAAATTTCACTCGGAAGACCCGCGAGATTTTTGCAATCATCTAGAAACAGAAAAGTAAGGCCAACCAGACAACCTATTGATGAAGGTAATTTCTCAATGGACGTCTGTTGTAAACTAAGCCATGACAAATTTTTCATTTGCCCTGAAAATTCTGGAATCTTTTTCAATTTTGAGCAATAACTAAGCACCAACGTTTTAAGACATTTGAGATCTGCAATTGACGGGTCAATCTCAACCAAATTCGTACAACTTCCAAAATACAACACCTCAAGATTCGGAATGCCACTGAAATCTGGGGTTGTGGTCAAGTTTTCAGAGTCAGAAAGGTCCATTTTTTTCAAGTTGGGCAAGTCCTGTACAATTCATAAACAATGGTAGAATAGATAATTAGCTCAGATTTATTTTATTTTTAAAAAAAATACTAATTTCTAGAATGGCACATGGCCACTACTCTTACCTTTCTTCCATCCCAAAGCCGAACAAGTTTGCTCCCACGCATCTCAAGTGCAAAAAGGAAATTCGATTGAAAACCTGATGGGAGAAATTTGGAAGGATACCGACTCCATTTGATACTTCTCAAGGAATTAGGAAGAATTTTGGGGCTTGAAGAAATGATCACATTGTAAAATTCAAGAACTTTCAGGTTACACATCTTAGAGAATGCTTCGCAATTCCAATCTGCCTTTTCAAGTCTCGCCATGCGTAAGGCAATGCCTTTAATTTTGTTTGTTGCCTGTAATTAAGAATAGTAAAGGAAAAGTTAACAGCACATTTAAGTCAAATTTCAGGTTAAAAATAAATCATATTTCTTCCAAATATCAATATTTTTCTACGTAATTTCTTACTGTATTGTTTATGAATACATGAGAGATATCATCATGACTGCACAATCGACTTCGTCTACCAGGCTCTTCAGGACACTCTCGACGAACAATTTCCAATGCCATTTCTGGTATCAAATCATGCATCTCAACATTCTGTTTTGATATAGTTAAGAGCGATTTCTGAACGAGAGCATTTATCCCAATACGACCACATAGACCACAACTATCTAGTATTTCAATTACTTCCTCCTTGTCCTTCCCCTTATGGAAAAATGCAACATCAAGAAATATATCCTTGTTCATCTCATCTAGTCCATCATAACTTATTTTGAGCAAATCAAAATTATTGGAGTTAGGAATTTTCCACATCTTATCCAATTCACTTTTCCATTCATCTTGATCTCTCTTATACATTAAGCATCCCAAAAGTTTAAGAGCTAGTGGAAGGCCTCTGGCATAATTTACAAAACCCTTGGACAATTCCAAATAACCTTCCGTCGGCTCATTTTTTTTTAAAGGCGTTCCAACTAAAGAGCTCAAGAGCATCATCATCACCTAACCCCTCTACCTCATATGATATATGTATATCATGTTTAACTAGCAACCGTTTATCTCTAGTTGTAATAATGACTATACTCCCCTTACCAAACCAATCCTTTTCACCAGCCAACTTTTCAAGTTGGCTTGATTCACTCACATCATCAAGAATGAGAAGAACCTTTTTTATCATACAAGCAATTCTTAATGACAGAGGTTCCCCACTGTTCATCCCAAACTTGAGTAAATTGATCCTTTAAGATTGGGGAAAGAAGTTGTCTTTGTAGATTAACAAGATCACCACGTTGAGAAACTTCTCTAACATTAGCAAGAAAGCTGCTAACTTCATAATGGATAGAAATGCGATCATAAACTAGCTTAGCAATGGTTGTTTTGCCAATTCCGCCCATCCCCCATATCCCTATAAAGCGAACATCATCCGTAGGATGAGCTAAAAGCAAATCTACTTGCTCACGTATAAACTTCATTCCCACCAACTCTCTGGAATCTAACAATTTGAATCTGTGATGCGCTTTCTCCCACACACATTCAACAATATTTTCAATAAGTATCAGATAAATGTCATAATAACTATTCATAAGCAATGTTCGAAAAATCGCTAGCGGTACGGCAAACAGGAATCTAGCACCAAGAGGAGTAATTGGGACCTAAGTGGGCGCCTAGGCGTTTCTTTTTTATATAATTATTTTGTATTATAAATGATAAATTAATACCAAAATCATGCAAAATAAAGAGATATATAAATCAAAAGTCCAAGTGATTTGCTTCCTTTTTAAATGTGCTTAAAAATATAGGCAACGTTTTGAATATAGTGCCACCAAAACAAACCAAATATTGATCACCACCACTAAAAGATAAAAGAAATTGAAATTGAAAATGATTAGAAGCACACCTTGAAGATAAGCACTTGCACATCTTGGTCATCCACCACTGCATGCACAATAAGTGCTTCTCCTCTCACACTCTGACTATATAATTCCAACACTGCTATCTCCTTGTGATGCCCGTACTCTTCCTCCTCCTCATCCTCACCATCATCGTCATATCTGACGGCTCTCCGCCTGGCAGCCCAGCAAATGCTCAAGGCCCTTCTTGGTCTCAAGATATGCAAAGCGTCAGCTGAGGCAGAGCACGTTCTGAAATATCTGCTATCTGCTGCAGATTTGGAGGAGGTGGGCTTTGGAGAAAATGGTAATTTGGGTGAGGAGGAGATGAGCATAACCCATCTTCCCGATTTGAAGTGCTTCAACATCATAATTATTGGATTTTGGAAATTGGAAATGAGTACACAACTTTGATCCTTGAATGAAGATAAGGGTCGGTCCCAGTCGCACGGTTGGGTGCAATTTACTATCAAAGACAATCTGAAAGCCCATCTAAAAGATGGATGGGTGGGATGATCAATTTCTTGGGTGTTAATATATACGCCCAAATATTTCTTACGAAAATACAGAGCCAAATATAAAAACAGTGGGAGAACCAAATGAAGGAGCAATAGGTGAAAAACAAAACTTAAAGCAACATAAGGCCAAAAGAATGAAGCACAAGCAGTGGAACAGACAATAGTACCTCGACAATCCAAAAAAAAATGAAAAGTAGAATCAGAAAAAGAAGCAACTCACATTGAAATGCAGCAGCTGTGATGCCTCTTGCTTTGAAATTGAGGAATCATAGGTCAGTCCCAAACACATCGATCTTTTTCTTTTTCTGGGCCGAGCTTCGTCAACAAAATCATCATCATCATCATTTAATTCATCTTGGTCTACCTCTTCGGAAAGAGCATAGGTATTGCAGAAGAGAGATTTTTGGTGAGAGCTACCACTTCCACTAGGACTAGCCTCCTCGTCATCGTGGTGTTGTTGACCTTGTGTGTCAGCTGATTTGGTAGGACAAGTAGTAGTGCTCTGGATGATGGATTTGTTCATCATGATCTGGATATAATACGCAGCAACATGAGTTAATCAATGCTCTGCAGTAGTTAACAAAGAAATGTTCCTTCTCAGATGCATATAATATCTAGCTCATGTTATCGACCAATATGACAGAGAGAGACAGAGATGAGAGGAATTATCATCAAAGAAACAATAAGTGATGAATCTAATGATAAATGTACCGCCAGAAAACCTTTTTTGTAAGACAGATGGAGGTAACTTACTACTATCAATTGTGAGAAGAGCGTTTTTGGCCTTTCAAGTATTTATGTGCAGACATTTGAGGAGGAGGAGTTTTTAACAAAGCTAGCAAAAATTTAGCTCCTCTTTTAAGAATGACAGTTTTTATTAAACCTTGCAATAATAACTCAAAATATGAGGGTGCAAGGCCTAAGTAAAATATCAAAGTGGTTACTCTCCAAATCAAAAGTCCCATGCACCCCCATTTTTTGGTATTGTTGAAAGATTTCATAAAAACTGCAGTTGTTAAAAAGAGGGAGAAAATCTTTACAAGTTTTGTTAAAAACCCTTTGGAAAGAGCATAGGTATTGCAGAAGAGAGATTTTTGGTGAGAGCTACCACTTCCCCTAGGACTAGCCTCCTCGTCATCGTGGTGTTGTTGACCTTGTGCGTCAGCTGATTTGGTAGGACAAGTAGTAGTGCTCTTGATGATGGATTTGTTCATCATCATCTGGTTGAGTTGTTCCACATCTTGCTTGTGCACCAAACGAAACCCACACTCCTTCACACTCACCCCACACTTCTTCACACTCACCCCAGATGGTTTACAATAATCAATTCTGAACAAAACATTTATCTGACTGCATTTCGTCTTAAATTGTTCACGAGATGCATAAATTACCCAAAGGTGATCTGACTCAACTTCGCCTATTTTAAAATATTTTGAAAATTCTTCAGGTGGCCGCATTCCTTGTGGGGAACAGCTCATAAAGCAACGAAATTCAGAAAGATCAGCCGGAAATTCAAACACAGCACATAAAGCAATTCCCATCCACGTGGTAGGTAGCTCCACAGTTAGGGAATCTCCCAAACTTTGATTACTGAACCACTCTGGAATTTCCCTTCCAGGAGTTACAATTTCGAATTCGCATCGGACATAAGGCCTACGGATTGGCCGCTGTACCATATACATGGATATATATGAGGTTAGTAAGTTGTAATTATTATTATAGCAAACAACAAAAGAGAGAGACAGAGAGAGAGAACCTGAAACTGAAGGTATCGCTTTAGCATTCTCAGTATTATACTATCGCAGCCTTCATTGTCAACCAATACAAAGCAATTGGCACAATTAAACCTAGGAAAATGCATTACACTGTTTATATCCACTAATGATGAATGATCTGGCAACATTTTTAAGGAAGTACAACCGGCTATGCGTATATCCACTAACCGGATAAGCTTAGAAAGATTTGGCAATTGTTCAAGACTTTGGCACCTCTTCACTTTAAGTACTTGAAGCTTAGAAAGACATCCAATGCTTGCAGGAAGGCTAACAAAATTGTTTCCACTAAGCATTAATTGTTCTAAATTGGACAAGCAGCCAATATCACTGGGAAGATCCCCTTCACAAAGTCCACGATTACTCAGATTCAAATAGTACAAAGACAATAAACCGTCTAACGAACTTAACACAAAACCATTTCTGTTTTGATATAAACCAGAAAGGCCCCACCAAAACCTTGATTTCTTAGGCTGTGATCCATTTCCACATAAGGATAGCCTGAAAAGATTTTTCAAACCAACAACAGAGCGTGGCAGCTGTCTTATAGAAGTTCCTTTCAATTCAAGCAGTTCAAGAGACTCCATCTCCCCCAACTTCTCTGGGAGTTTGTCAATTTTTTAGCACAAATCAAGATCCAACCAGCTAAGACATTTGAGATCTGCAATTGACGGGTGAATGTCAACCAAATTCTTACAACTTCCAAATTTCAACTCTTGAAGATTCTGAATGCCAGAGAAATCTGGGCTTGTGGTCAAGTTTTCAGAGCCAAAAAGGTTCATTTTTTTCAAGTTGGGCAAGTCCTGTAAAATTCATAAACAACGGTAGAATAGATAATTAGCTCAGATTTATTTTAATTTTTAAAACAAAATATTTAAAATAATTATAAAAAACTAATTTCTAGAATGGCATATGGTCACTACTCTTACCATTCTTCCATCCCAAAGCCGAACAAGTTTGCTCTTAGGCATCTCAAGTGCAATAAGGAAATTCGGTTGAAAACCTGATGGCAGAAACTCGGAAGGATACGAACTCCATTTGATACTTCTCAAGGAATTAGGAAGAATTCTGGGGCTTGAAGAAACGATCACATTGTCCAATTCAAGAAATTTCAGGTTAAGCATCTTAGACAAGGCGTCACAATTCCAATTTGCCATTTCAAGTGTCGCCATGCGTAATCTGATGCCTTTAATTTTGTCCGTTGCCTATAATTAAGAATAGTAAAAGAAAAATTAATTCCACATTTAAGTCTAATAATGTGTTAAAGAGAAATCATATATCTTCCAAAACTATCTTTATATAACTTCTTATCATATTGTTTATGAATATATCAAAGATATCATTAATTAAGTTTAATACTGTGTTAAAAGAAAAATCATAAATCTTCCAAAACTCAGTATCTTTTATAAAACTTCTTACCGTATTGTTTATGAATACACGAGAGATATCATCATGATTGCACAACCGACTTCGTCTACCAGGCTCTTCAGGACACTCTCGACGAACAATTTCCAATGCCATTTCTTGTATCAAATCATGCATCTCAACATTCCTATTTGATATAGTTAAGAGTGATTTCTGAACGAGATCATTTATCCCAACACAACCACATAGGCCACAACTGTCTAGTATTTTAATTACTTCCTCCTTTTCCTTCCCCGTATGGAAAAATGCAACATCAAGAAGTATATCCTTGTTCATCTCATCTAGTCCATCATAACTTATTTTGAGCAAATCAATAATTTCTGACTTAGGAATTTTCCCCAGCTTATCCAATTCACTTTTCCATTGATCTTGATCTCTCTTGTACACTAAGCATCCCAAAAGTTTAAGAGCTAGTGGAAGGCCTCT